AGTGGCTTAACAAGAGGAATACGACAACTTTAGCCAAATTCCTTGACACGTCTGTGTGTGGTGGCTCTTGATGCCTTGACCCCAGCCTCAGTCCATTCCTTGTGAAGTTCACTCAAATTCTTGAATCGATTTTGCTTGACAATCCTCATAAGGCTGCGGTTCTCTCGGTTGGTTGTGCATCTTTTTCTTCCACACTTTTTCCTTCCACTCAACTTTCTGTTAACATGCTTGGATACAGCACTCTGTGAACAGCCAGCTTCTTTGGCAATGAATGTTTGTGGCTTACCCTCCTTGTGAAGGGTGTCAGTGATTGTCTTCTGGACAACTGTCAGATCAGCAGTCTTCCCCATGATTGTGTAGCCTAGTGAACCAAACTGAGAGACCATTTTGAAGGCTCAGGAAACCTTTGCAGGTGTTTTGAGTTGATTAGCTGATTGGCATGTCACCATATTCTAATTTGTTGAGATAGTGAATTGGTGGGTTTTTGTTAAATGTGAGGCAAAATCATCACAATTAAAAGAACCAAAGACTTAAACTACTTCAGTGTGTGTGCATTGAATTTATTTAATACACGAGTTTCACAATTTGAGTTGAATTACTGAAATAAATGAACTTTTCCACGACATTCTAATTTATTGAGATGCACCTGTATTAGGTGGTGATTGGTATTGCACTTTAGATTTCACACGTGATAGGAATGGTGAAGAACCTCACATGCAGTCAGCTTCTCATCTGGCCAGTGTTATGAAAAATCTAAGGTTTTCAGATGTGTGGAGAGATCACAATTTTTAAACGAAGCAGTACACTTGGGTGAAAATTAATAATAGTAGGGTTTTTGGTGCACGGTTAGACAGGTTTTTTGCATTACATAATGTGAAATATAGGGTGGTGCATACAGCTATCATTCCTACATCTTTGTCCGACCATAAATTCATCACAGTTGAATGTACATTGGTGAACAGGATTCACAAGAGCTACTACTGCCATTTTAACAATAAGCTATCGGAGGATAAACATTTCTGTGAGAACTTTAAATGCTTCTGGGAAAATTGGAAGAGTGAAAAGTGCCTATACGATAGTGCTATCCAATGGTGGGAAATCGGAAAAGTGCATATAAGATCATTCTGTCAGCAATATGCAAACCATTCTTCTTTTGTTTTAAAAAAGACATCAGAGTTGCTGGAAAATTAAGTAAATGACATTGAGAAGAGTATAACTGTCAATGATGCTGTAAACCTACAAGAGCTGTGGACTGAGAAAAAGAATCAGCTGAGTTTTATTTTAAATGAAAAAGTTAAAGGGGCTCTTTCAAGGAGTCGTTTTTTAACAATAAAAGACATGAATGGTCCGACATCTTATTTTTTTTAACCTGGAGCGTAAAGCAGGACAAGGAAAACTGATGTACGTTTTAAAGGACAATGATGGTCAAGATACTTCGGATCCTGTGGTGATGCGCTGTGGATTTTTACTCTAATTTATTTACTGCTGAAGCCATTGATGAGCAAAGCAGAAATGAACTGCTACAGGATATTCCTTCTTTAACTTCAATGCATAAAATACTTTTGGAGGCTGATCTTAAGTTTGAAGAGGTTACTGCTGCTGTAAAGGTTATCTCTTCAGGAAGAGCACCAGGGATAGACGGACTGTCTTCTGATTTTTTAAAGAAATTTTGGACTATATTAGGACCTGATTATTTTGAAGTGCTCAAAGAATGCATCAGTAAGGGTGTTCTCCCTGTGAGTTGTCAACGGGTTGTCTTAACTCTGTTACCAAAAAAGGGAGATTTAAACCTTTTAAAAAACTGGAGACCGGTAGCAATTTTGTGTTCCGAATATAACAGTTTGTCTAAATGTTTGTCAAATAGACTAAACAATGTGTTACATACAATCATTCATAAAGATCAATCATACTGTGTAAAAGGAAGATCTATTTTAGATAATTTACATTTAGTGCGAGATATTTATGACTTTGCTCTTAACAATAATATTAACCTTGGCTTTCCGTCATCAGACCAAGAAAAGGCTTTTGACCGAGTTGACCACAATTTTCTTTTTGAAACGTTAAAGGCTTTTGGTTTTAGAGACAATTTTATTTCTATGATTAAGCTTCTCTATAATCAGGCCACGTGTATGATAAAAATGGTTGGTGGTCTCAGTGTTCCTGTTAATGTCCATAGAGGTATTAGGCAAGGTTGTCCTCTTTCAGGTCAACTCTACAGCATACTCCTTGAGCCTCTGTTATGTAAACTAAGAAGCCAGTTAACAGGTTTAAGGGTTACTGAACTAGATTCTCAAGAGCCTATTAAGATTTCTGCGTATGCTGATGATGTTACAGTTTTAGTCAGAGGTCATGAAGATCAAAGACAATTTTTTATATAACTCCGACTGGATTCGTCTGAAAGAAGAAAGTCTTATACACCTAGGATGCATCGGGGGTGAGTAAAAAACAGCTAATTTTCATTTTTGGATGAACTAACCCTTTAAGTTAAGTGTTAATGTAGTACTACCTATTACTTCCTGCATAGATACTTGTTAACAACGGACCATTATTCTAAAGTGTTACCGAACATTATGGTAAAGCATCCTCAGCTAAGGTGAACTGGAGTAAAAGCAATGCTCTGTGGTGTGGTCAGAATTCTAATGGTCCTATGCTTCCGGGTGGTTTGCAGTGGGGAAGAACGGGTTTCAAATATCTAGGGGTTTTTTTTAGGCACAGATGAATTTAAGAGACAAAACTGGGAGGGCCTTGTGGAGAAAGTGTGTGCAAGGTTGTTTCACTGGAAATGGTTGCTACCCCAGCTGTCCTACAGGAGGAGAGTCCTGATCTGTAATAACTTGCTGGCCTATGATGATTTTAGAGCCTCCGAAGGACCTGGTGGTAAGGATTCAGAAGCAGATGGTGGACTTTTTCTGGTCAGGACAGCACTGGTTGAGGGCACCAGTTCTATACTTGCCCATTCAGGAAGGAGGACAAGGACTTGTCGACATCGGATCCAGAGTTGAAGCCTTTAGACTTCAGACAGCTCAGAGACTGCTTTACGGGGAGGATGTAAGCTGGACTGGTACAGCCTGTGCTCTTCTGAGGAGAGCAGGCAGTATGGGGCTGGATCGTCACCTGTTTCTAATGAATATTAATAAGCTGGATCTGACTGGTTTACCATCCTTTTACAGGTCAGTGTTAAGAGCGTGGTCACATTTTAAGTTCTCAAGAGAAGTCAATGGTGTACAGAGAATCTGGCTGAGGGAGGAACCATTGCTCTTCAACTATGTAATGGACCTGTATATTTTTAAATCCGATTCTCTCAGAAAAGCTTTGTGGTCTGCAAAGATCACAAAAATTTGACATTTAATTCATGAGGGAGGATAGATATCTGCTGAGGCTTTGGCCTTAAAACTGGACATGAGGTCAGTTCGAGTGGCAGAGAGACTGTTAACTGAAACACGTGAGTTTTTACCAGTGGACTATAGATTGGATTTAGAGGCTTCGGACGTGGATACTTCTGCATTCCTGGAGCTGACTATTTCAGCTGACACAGGAGAGTGGCAGGAAACAGAGGGTGGACTGCTCTCTTTCAGATCATCTCAGCCTAGTCTTTTCGGTGATACAGGAAAGAAGGCTTTATATGTACTGTGTGTTAAAGCGGCACATTTCCACATGCTTGAAAACCTGAGAGAATCCAAGTGGCAGGATGTGTTTGGCTCAGGCGTTTCCCCTAAAGGCTGCTGGAGGACCCTGTACAAACCTCCCATTGAGTAAAGGTCTGGAGACCTTCAGTGGAGGGTAGTGCATTGTATAATAGCCACAAACAGACACAGAGCACACATTGATCCACAGGTAGGGGAGGAGTGTCCTTTTTGTGGGGTACAATAATCAGTGTTTCACTTATTTCTTAATTGTTTTAGACTACAACTGTTTTTTCATCAACTAGAAGGATACTGTCAAACTCTGGGGGAAGTTTTTACGCCTATGCTTTTTATTTATGAGCCTAAATACAGCAGGAGCAAAATGCAAGCTCATGTTTTATAAAATGTTATATTTGGGCAAGCAAAACTGGCTATTTGGCTGTCACGTAAAAGAAAACTACTTGGCTCGGGTTTGACTGACGTTATTTTGGTGTTTAGGGGATTAATAAAATCCCGTATTAATATAGAGCAGGGGTGCCCAAACTCGGTCCTGGAGGGCTGGTGTCCTGCAGAGTTTAGCTCCAACTTGCTTCAACACACCTGCTGGGAAGTTTCTAGTACACCTAGTAAGAGCTTGATTAGCTGGTTCAGGTGTGTGTAATTGGGGTTGGAGCTAAACTCTGCAGGACACCGGCCCTCCAGAACCGAGTTTGGGCACCCCTTATATAGAGTATGCGTATTATATGTTGATTGATGACTTGGACAGTTTTAGATCTAAATGGGGTATAAATCAATGTATTTGTGAAATTAATTATGATGGTTGCTTGCAAATTTCTGTCTGAGTGATGAAAGATTGTAAAACTGTTATTTCTGATGTGTACATTTATTCATGTAAATTTTTTATATTATTCCATTTTATTTTATTTTAATATTTCAATAATGTTTATCTAAAATTAGTGGTAAATAAAGAGATTGTTAAAGTCTCTCTCTCTCTCTCTCTCTTTCTTTTTTAAGGGACCAAGATGCAGAATGAATTGGAGTTGTACCCATTGGTCTGTCCAAACCCTTGTGTTTGGCAGACTTGCAAATGATAATATTAATTGGATTTGCTGATGTTGTGTTTTATACAAAGATTTATAGGATAATGATAGTGTCTATTATGGATTATACAAGCATTGTGAGAAGAGTTTTATGTTCTTAATGTTTTGAGTTGTCTAGCAGGGTAATATCGGCTTTGCATTTTTTTTTTATTAATTTACTTTATTTTTAAATGGAATAAGTTGAAATGTTTTAATTATTTCATATTTTACTACGTGTTAGAACCTAGTGATACTTTTAAGCAATGTACAAATGTTAGTATTGCTGTTTTTAGTTTTTAAGATTGGTGTTATTTACAACAGAAACTTTATTGCATTACATGAAAATAGAGGGGGACTAATTAATATTGATTGTCTGTAATAAATTCATTTTTGTGAGTGTGACATATTTAGCTTTATGTAAAATTACAGCTGTAAGCCATAATCACGATACCATATATATTTCAAATGATTGCAACTTATTTTTACAAGCGAAAAATGTAAACATAAGATGGAATTTTTAAAATTAAGTGCTGTACATGTATTTCAAAAGTATGGTCCATTTCAGTAAAAAAAAAAAACAACAGGCAACCTCCCGGTCTCTCGCTTGAAGCCAGTATGGAAGTGATTAAAACTGCAATTCATCGACTGACCGCTAGAGGCTGGCTTCAAAAGGGAGTCAGTGTTAAATGGGGATTTTAACTGGGCATTTTAACTCCCCATGTTAAAATGCCCAGCTTTACAGCAGAAAAAAATGTTTACAGCCTGGTACAAAAAGTGCTTCTGGTCTATATAGGTAATTTTACCCTTCATGACAACTGTGAGGGGGGTGAATTTTTTTATAACTCATCCGTTTAAATTATATTAAGCCTTAAAGTTCTGCATAATTAAGGGCGTGGCCACTTGAGTGACAGGTGGACTGCCGCTCTGCTCCAGAGTTTGAAAATCGCTAGACTGTAAAACTTAGAAAAATGGCTTTAAAGATTTTTATTTGTCCAGAACAAATTTATTATGGATAGGACACTGGAAATCTGGCAATTAGATGTTTTAATGAAAATGATCTCAAACTTGATTTTTACCACTATTTTGAAGAATAATGCTCAGAATGATTGTGAATTAAACTTCTCCGATGACGTTCATTGCAATGTTTTTTATCGAGTTACAAGAAAAGGTATGAAACGGATTTAAATGCGTACAGTAACTGATGTTATGTGATATGCTATCATGGCATTCGACTCCTCACACGTGCAGAAGTGGGGGAGGCCTAGACCTTAAGCTGGCATCTGCATTATAAAAAGAAAAAAATAAACTTTAAAGATTATTTACGATTAATTATTGTTGTCAAGTTATCTAGTCGTTGCTTGTTTACAGTGCTTTGTTATATGGAGCAGTTTGTTAGATCGCAATCTATCTAATTTGTTTGTCTAAAGAAGTGCCGACAGATGTATGAAAGTACACAAGTCACACCGTAATTTAAAAGCGCAGACTTTAATGTACAGTAGGCAGAATACCGTATAACTCCAGGCTGGCACAGTAATATTGACAAATGGCTAAACAGATGCAGAGCACCGCAACTTAATTTGAGCGATCTAAAACAAAGTCAAAGAGCGGTAACTGATGATACTGTGTTCTGCCTTGGTTTCTCCTGGGCTTTTCTCCAAGATACTTATACACATGATAAAGGAGGTCATATACGTATGTCACAAAATTATCAATAACTCATTTCGACCAAAAACGAAGTTATGGTGTTTTGTCTTTGCACGGCAGCACTGCTGTCACCATAGACGGGTCGTGGTTTCAGCATCTAGCGCCTCAGCTTCACCCACGTGCTGCCAAGATGGCGGCGGTCGGCTCTGCCCACTTTAGGCTTCAAAAATGCTCTTCTGAACCCTACGAGTGACGTCACGGACACTACGTCCATGTTTTTTTACAGTCTATGTTCAGCCAGCAAAAAAGATAACATTGTCCAATGTGCCACCTTTTATTAAAGAGGAGCTCTTGATTAATGAATTGTCTAGACATGGCAAAATCATTCATTTGGTATCTCAAATGAAAAGGATTCCTTTAGGTTGTAATTCGCCCTTGCTTAAGCATGTAGTATGTTTCAGACTGCAATTATATATGATCTTAAAGAGCGATTTGGATGAACTGAACTTGTCTTTTTGATGGTTTTGATTATGTTGTTTTTGCATCGTCTGATACTATGAAGTGTTTTGGCTGTGGGCAAGAGGGTCACGTTAGGCGTGCATGTCCTGAGAGGGTAAATGACTCTGAGCCAGGGCCGAGCAGAGAAACAGTGCGCGAGAGTAGTAGCGCAATTGTTACTGAGGATTCTGCTGTCGGAGACCACTCTAGACAGACTCTGGAGCAGATTCTAGACAGTGGGGAGAAAGAACCTGATACAGGGTCTACTGATGTTGTGGGAAGAAATATAGAAAGTGGGGAGAAAGAAAACGATACAGTGCCTGCTGATGTTGTTGATGTGGCTGAATCCATTGTGGAGGAGGAGGAGATGGTGACAGATACTGCTAATGATGAAACACTTTTTAAAATAACCAATACTAAGAGGAAAAGAGTAAGGAAGAGTTCGGAAATGGCTAAAATGAGCCGACTAACAACAACAGAACCTGAAAAGCTTGATGACACTGAAGGCAGCACAATTGACGATTCTGAGTGAAGCAGTGGACAGTAAGACAGGACGAAGTCGATGCAGCGATTATAATTTTGACAAAATAAAGTCATTTCTGCAAAGAACTAAGAATGTAAAAAATGTTCAGTTTGAGGATTTTTTTTGCTGACAGAAGAATGTTTATCAATTCAGTGACAGTGCTAATGAGAGGTGAAGGAGTGGAACAGTTTACAGTGCAGGAAATATACAGATTGAAGAAACTTGTTTCCAAACTGAAATTGGAATTACAAAAGGAAGATGGCTTTGAAACCACGTAATCCTTTTTGTCTCATGGTTTTGAGTGGTTTGTGTCCTCTTATAATATTTATTTTAATGAGTGTGATGAGGGTGGGCTCTCTTAACTTGAATGGTGGTCGAGATATGCATAAAAGAGCACTGCTGTTTGAGCTCATTAAACAAAAGTATATTGATGTAATATATGTCCAAGA